TTAAAAAAAATTGAAATCATTCCAATCATCTTTTCTGACCATAGTGCAGTAAGATTAGATCTCAATTACAGGAAAAAAAATTGTTAAAAATTCAAACATATGGAGGCGAAATAACACGCTTCTGAATAACCAACAAATCATAGAAGAAATAAAAAAAAGAAATCAAAATATGCATAGAAATGAATGAAAACACAACAACCCAAAACCTATGGGACACTGTAAAAGCAGTGCTAAGGGGAAGGTTCATAGCATTACAGGCTTACATCAAGAAACAAGAAAAAAGCCAAATAAATAACCTAACTCTACATCTAAAGCAATTAGAGAAGGAAGAAATGAAGAACCCCAGGGTTAGTAAAAGGAAAGAAATCTTAAAAATTAGGGCAGAAATAAATGCAAAAGAAACTAAAGAGACCATAGCAAAAATCAACAAAGCTAAAAGCTGGTTTTTTGAAAAAATAAACAAAATTGACAAACCATTAGCAAGACTCATTAAGAAACAAAGGGAGAAGAACCAAATTAACAAAATTAGAAATGAAAATGGAGAGATCACAACAGACAACACTGAAATACAAAGGATCATAAGAGACTACTACCAGCAGCTCTATGCCAATAAAATGGGCAACTTGGATAAAATGGACAAATTCTTAGAAAAGTATAACTTTCCAAAACTGAGCCAGGAAGAAATAGAAGATCTTAACAGAGGCATCACAAGCAAGGAAATCGAAACTATAATCAGAAATCTTCCAGGAAACAAAAGCCCAGGACCAGATGGCTTCACAGCTGAATTCTACCAACAATTTAGAGAAGAGCTAACACCTATCTTACTCAAACTCTTCCAGAAAATTGCAGAAGAAGGTAAACTTCTAAACTCATTCTATGAGGCCGCCACCACCCTCATTCCAAAACCAGACAAAGATGCCACAAAAAAAGAAAACTATAGGCCAATATCACTGATGAACATAGATGCAAAAATCCTTAACAAAATTCTAGCAAACAGAATCCAACAACATATTAAAAAAATCATACACCATGACCAAGTGGGCTTTATCCCAGGAATGCAAGGATTCTTTAATATCTGCAAATCAATCAATGTAATACACCACATTAACAAATTGAAAGATAAAAACCATATGATTATCTCAACAGATGCAGAAAAAGCCTTTGACAAAATTCAACACTCATTTATGATTAAAACTCTCCAGAAAGCAGGAATAGAAGGAACATACCTCAACATAATAAAAGCTATATATGACAAACCCACAGCAAGCATCACCCTCAATGGTGAAAAATTGAAAGCATTTCCCCTGAAATCAGGAACAAGACAAGGGTGCCCACTCTCACCACTACTATTCAACATAGTGTTGGAAGTTTTGGCCACAGCAATCAGAGCAGAAAAAGAAGTAAAAGGAATCCAGATAGGAAAAGAAGAAGTGAAACTCTCGCTGTTTGCAGATGACATGATCCTCTACATAGAAAACCCTAAAGACTCTACCAGAAAATTACTAGAGCTAATCAATGAATATAGTAAAGTGGCAGGATATAAAATTAACACACAGAAATCCCTTGCATTCCTATACACTAACAATGAGAAAACAGAAAGAAAAATTAAGGAAACAATACCATTCACCATTGCAACAAAAAGAATAAAGTACTTAGGAGTATATCTACCTAAAGAAACAAAAGACCTATACATAGAAAACTATAAAACACTGATGAAAGAAATCAAAGAGGACACAAACAGATGGAGAAACATACCGTGTTCATGGATTGGAAGAATTGATATTGTCAAAATGGTTATTCTACCCAAAGCAATCTATAGATTCAATGCAATCCCTATCAAGCTACCAATGGTATTTTTCACAGAACTAGAACAATTAATTTCACAATTTGTATGGAAATACAAAAAACCTTGAATAGCCAAAGTAATCTTGAGAAAGAAGAATGGAACTGGAGGAATCAACCTGCCTGACTTCAGACTCTACTACAAAGCCACTGTCATCAAGACAGTATGGTACTGGCACAAAGACAGAAACATAGATCAGGAACAGAATAGAAAGCCCAGAGATAAATCCATGAACCTATGGACACCTTATCTTCGACAAAGGAGGCAAGGATATACAATGGAAAAAAGAACCTCTTTAACAAGTGGTGCTGGGAAAACTGGTCAACCACTTATAAAAGAATGAAACTAGAACACTTTCTAACACCATACACAAAAATAAACTCAAAATGGATTAAAGATCTAAATGTAAGACCAGAAACTATAAAACTCCTAGAGGAGAACATAGGCAAAACACTCTCTGACATAAATCACAGCAGGATCCACTATGACATAAATCACAGCAGGATCCTCTATGACCCACCTCCCAGAATATTGGAAATAAAAGCAAAAATAAACAAATGGGACCTAATGAAACGTAAAAGCTTTTGCACAACAAAGGAAACTATAAGCAAGGTGAAAAGACAGCCCTCAGAATGGGAGAAAATAATAGCAAATGAAGCAACAGACAAAGGATTAATCTCAAAAATATACAAGCAACTCCTGAAGCTCAATTCCAGAAAAATAAATGACCCAATCAAAAAAATGGGCCAAAGAACTAAACAGACATTTCTCCAAAGAAGACATACAAATGGCTAACAAACACATGAAAAGATGCTCAACATCACTCATTATCAGAGAAATACAAATCAAAACCACAACGAGGTACCATTACACGCCAGTCAGGATGGCTGCTATCCAAAAGTCTACAAGCAATAAATGCTGGAGAGGGTGTGGAGAAAAGGGAACCCTCTTACACTGTTGGTGGGAATGCAAACTAGTATAGCCGTTATGGAGAACAGTGTGGAGATTTCTTTAAAAACTGGAAATAGAACTGCCATATGACCCACCAATCCCACTTCTGGGCATACACACCGAGGAAACCAGATCTGAAAGAGACATGTGCACCCCAATGTTCATCGCAGCACTGTTTATAATAGCCAGGACATGGAAGCAACCTAGATGCCCATCAGCAGATAAATGGATAAGGAAGCTGTGGTACATATACACCATGGAATATTACTCAGCCATTAAAAAGAATTCCTTTGAATCAGTTCTAATGAGATGGATGAAACTTGAGCCCATTATACAGAGTGAAGTAAGCCAGAAAGATAAAGACCATTACAGCATACTAACACATATATATGGAATTTAGAAAGATGGTAATGATAACCCTATATGCAAAACAGAAAAAGAGACACAGGTGTACAGAACAGACTTTTGGACTCTGGGGAAAGGCGAGGGTGGGATGTTTTGAGAGAACAGCATGTATATTATCTATAGTGAAACAGATCACCAGCCCAGGTGGGATGCATGAGACAAGTGCTCGGGCCTGGTACACTGGGAAAACCCAGAGGAATCGGGTAGAGAAGGAGGTGGGAGGGGGGATTGGGATGGGGAATACATGTAACTCCATGGCTGATTCATGTCAATGTATGACAAAACCCACTGAAATGTTGTGAAGTAATTAGCCTCCAACTAATAAAAATATATTTAAAAAAAAAAAAGTCATGGCCGCAAAAAAAAAAAAAGTTTGGTCCTGTGTTTAAACTTAATTAACTACCTTAAACGTATTAAACTGAATTAATACATTTAATATAATAGGTTCTCTTTTTAAGCACTTCAAATGCTTCCTCAATTCTTAAATTATTCCATTAAATCCAGTAAATTAAACCTATAAAGTGAATCTTAAATGTCGTAGACATTCTGCTATTGTATCATTGTTGTTGTTTAGTCAATAAGTCGTGTCTGACTCCTTGTGACCCCATGGACTGTAGCCCTCCAGGCTCCTCTGTCCATGGGATTCTCCAGGCAAGAACACTGCAGTGGGTTGCCATTTCCTTCTCCAGGGGATCTTCCCGACCCAGGGATCAAACCCACGTCTCCAGGCAGACTCTTAACTGCTGAGCCACCTGGGGAACCCTCTGATATTGTATATAAACAGTAAAATTCTCTTGCGCTTCTCAAAAAAATAACTGTCCCAAAACCAATCGATCACTAACAAATTTCCATAGGAATCAGAAGATTTTTCTCTTTCACATCTCATCACATTACAACTTCTTTACATACAATGAATTACTCCTAAATATTAATACAAATGATTACTAAATGAACTGATTCATCTCTATGCATAATCTTAATCCACCTCAGGCTTTAAAAGTTCTCAACACTAAGGCAGTGGTGCAGTTAGAATCACAAATCCCTCCTTTCTACCCCTAAACCAGTTCCATTAGAATCTTGAGGCAAAGGCCTAGCTTCTGTGGTTCTTAAAGGTCTCAGATGATTCCAATTTAAGATGCAGCTGAGAACATTGTTCTATAGAACCAATTCTCACCACCCAATGTGGGAGAAAAGCTCCCAGGTCATCACCTCCCAGACACTATTAACCAGGATGTGAGGTTCAAAGCTGCAGATGCCAGGACTCACCTGAGCGTTTTAGCAGCCAGAGCTAAGTATCCACATTTTTCAAGGGACTTTTTTTGGCTTCAGTCTAGGCTTTTGTGGGTTTAACTTATGCTACTACATAATTTTGGCAGCCTCTTTATTTTGTCACCTGCTTTGCATGGAAAGAATTCTGTAACCCACACTTCTCTACTTGTTGGCATTCAGCAAGTTTAGTTAGTGCCTAATTCTTGGCTTGCCTAGGTTTAGCCACAATTGCTGAGGTGTTCTACTGACACTCCTGCTATAAGAACACAAATAAAATGAAAAATTGGGAAGGCTTCCTGGAAAAGGTGGCACACAGGTGGTCTTTTGACTATGGCAATGGGATTGAGAGACAGGAAGGTAAGGAAAGGAATTCTGGATGGAAAAATATGTAAGCAGCTCAGGTTCCAGCACTCAAACCCAGGCATAGAGTCAAAAACCAGAGTAATGGACACTAGGCCCCAGGTCTGTGATGATGCCAGTTCTGGGCCCAGGCTCATGGAACAAGGGGGAGCCTGGCAGGGATTTCCCCGAGATGGCTGTTGTACTGCTGGGATCTGCCCCACAGGGCCGCCTCTTGTGCAGGCACCTCTGTAACCCCTCTGGGAAGAGTTTGACCATTAAGCAGGACCATCAGCAGGAAACACAGCCTCTCTGCCCAATGCTGTGGCAACTGGCTTCCCAGTACCTGCGGCCCCACAAGTGGAAGAAGCTGGCGTACTGCTGGGAGTTCACCAAGGCCCACGTCCAAGCCATAGAGCAACGGTGGACAGGTACCATCTTGCCTTGGTGCCCCAGAGCAACCCAGGAGGAGGGGTGGGGGCACATGGGTGTATTCAGTTTTCTGTGCTTCTAGGGGAAAATCCTCACCAAGTCACATGCTATTTCCAACGTGCCACGTGCTCTTCCCCGCCCCAGGCCTTTGCACAGCTGAGCCCTCTGCCCCTCCCCCTTCAGCTGACCTGTGAACGTCACATGCCTTGTGAGTCAGCTTGAGCTGATACCCATCTTTCACACACAAAGCTAAAGGCACTGCCTTTACTTCCTGTAGGAAGGAAACGAACTGTTGTTGCCACTATTATTTAACATCTGTTTGGAAATTTTGGCCCTGGTATTAAGGTATGAAACAGAAATAGAAATTAAGAGTATAAATATTGAAAAGGAAGAGAGATTTATTAATTTCAGATGCTATAATTATGTACATAGGAAGTCCAGAAGAGTCAACAGAAAAACTCTTAGAAAAAAATAATTCAATGAAATGGCTAAATATGATTAAATATATAAACACCATAGTATTCCTCTGTACCATCAAGAAGTGGACAAAATATATAGAGGTATTTTTAAAAATATATTCCACTTACAGTAGTGTGTTTCTAAAATATGAGTGACATGAGTAAGATAATACAAATTATTTGACATGAGTAAGACAATACAAATTATTTGAAAGAAGACTTGGTAAGTGGTACAACATTCCTGTGTTTTCAGCTAAAAAAAGTGTCATGTAGATATCAATTTTCCCCCAACTAAAGCTTTGATCTAATTTTATTTTACTTATTAATATTTATTTGGCTGCACTGGGTCTTAATTGTGGCATGTGGGATCTAGCTCCCCAACCAGGGACCAAACCTGGCCCCCCTGCAAGGGGAGCATGGAGTCTTAGCCACTGGACCACCAGAGAAGTCCCTCATTCAATTTTAATCAAATCAAAATAGGAAGTTTTTGAAACTTGACTAAAGGATTCTACATGTGTCCATGCTAAGTCACTTCAGTCGTGTCCAACTATGTGACCCCATGGATAGTAGCCTGCCAGGCTCCTCTGTCCATGGGATTCTACAGGCAAGAATACTGGAGTAGGTCCATTTCCTTCTGCAGGGGAAATCTTCCCAACCCTAGGATCGAACCCACATCTCTTAGTTCTCCCGCATTGGGGCGGATTATTTACCACTAGCACCACCTGAGGATTCTACTGTTCATCTGAAAGAAGAGACAGGGAATATATAAATAAATACTCTGGGGGAAAAAGACAAAAAGGGTCTAACTCAACTTAGAAAGCTAAAAATTTAACACAGAGATTCCTGACATACACATGTGTAAATCGGGTAGTGGATAGAGCAGGGAGTCCAAAAGTGAAAATAAAAGTTGTGTCCAACTCTTTGCAACCCCATGGAAGTCCATGGAATTCTCCAGGCCAGAATACTGGAGTGGGTAACCTTTTCCTTCTCCAGGGGATCTTCCCAACCCAGGGATCAAACCCAGGTCTACCCACATTACGGGTGGATTCTTTACCAACGGAGCTATCAGGGAAGCGGGATTCCAAAAGTAAACTCTGTTACAGATGCAGATTTCTTAGACAATTAAAGAGCACTGGTGAATTACAAGACTGGTGACAAGGGCTAGTGAATAAAGGGGTCAAATAAAACATATTAGGGGCATATCACAGGCAACACCAGGAGGAGGTGCCCGCTGGGGGCCCACAGACACCAGAGCATCAGGGATGCAGTGGATGGCTGACTTGGACATGATGACTGTACCCCCAGGGCTGTGCCAAAGCCTCTGCCCCCACCTGGGAGAGCTGACCTGGCCACAGTTTAATAACAAGTTAATTGCTACCACAGGCACTGAAGAGAGTAGGCACTCATTTCCCAAACATTGGAATCACCTAGGAAGCCTTAACCCAATCAGGGCCTAAGCCACCCACTCCCAAGTACATAGGAATCTCAGAGGAGCCCAGGAGTTTCCAGTGAGCACTAGTGGCTGAGACCCACTGGTACCGGGGAAGAACAGCATGCAAAGCAGAGATGACTGTGAGCAGTCAGAGAGATGAACTCTACAGTGCATCTGGGTACCACCGTGAATGCTAGTTCTTTCCCTCTTCGCAGTGACACCAATAGGATACAAGATGGAGGATCAGGAGAAAGTCTGGGGCTGGGGAGGTCCTGGAGTCTCGGACCCAAAACCCCACCCCCATACCATCTGAGGCTGCTGCTCCACCCCTCCCTCCCACGCTCCTCCCACCCCTCCCTCCCACTCCCCTCCCCATCTCTGGGCTGAGCTCTGCTGAAATCTGGAAACGGGCCTGGTGTTCTTGTGGAAGTAAGGGTGGGCTCAGACCTGGCTCTGGTAAGGCAGACAGGGTGGGCACCTTTTCTCTCTCTCCCCCTCCCTCCCCGATCCTCAGGAACCAGGAGCTATGGGGAACACAGGCACATGCTGCTCATCTGGCCACACAGTGTGGTGAGCACTCACCAGAGCGCTGTTCAAGGCCACTGCATGAGGGTCCTGACTGGTAAGTGTCTCCCTCTCGCCTGCTTCCTGCTCGGGGCAGCTCTGGGCCCGAGTCAGAGCTGCAAGGCCCTCCAAGGCTGCTCAGACCACAGTGCCATAGCACTGGCTCTGAACCTTCCAGATTGCTGGTCCTAGCCCTTCCTCCTCCTGGAACCCAGGCAGAGCCTCAGGCAACTCACAGTACCTCTGGGCCCCAGGTTCCCCATCTGTGCAATGAGGGTGGCCCAGATGCTCCCCGTGACCTTCACAGCCCCAAGGTCACTGAAGCTACAATCTCTTCCTATCCAGCTGTTTATACTGCTTTGATCCCATGTCCCCACCCCACCGCTCAGTTTGGGGTAAGGCGAGAACAGCGTGCAGGGGTTTTTTCCACAAACATTAAGATCTATGGTCCAAAACTGGTTTAAGATAAGTTGAACTACTACGATCTGATCAAATAAAATTTCTGAGGCCATCACAACCTATTTGAGTCTGTCAATCCCAAAAGTTTTTTGAAGGATTTGGGATTCAGGGCACCAAGTGGAACCATCAGACAAGCAGCGAAACAGGTTCTAGTAATGATCCCTCACTAATAACAAAATCAGCTCATGATGAAAAGGTTTCAACTCTGTAACGTCTGTTGGCCTGCTGTGCTTTATATATATACAGGGCAACCACAGGATGGAGAACCAGGCATTCATCCATAGTAATGAAGGAGCACGGCGACAGGAAAAGCGTTCATAGCGTATTGTCGAGGGGCAGAGGGAAGGTCCCCTGCATGGCGGGTCTTCACCAGCTGCCACATGCAAAGTGGGAAACCAGTCATTTCAGAGGGGAAGAATTAGAGATGACCTGGTTCTTTTTCCAACATATTCTTAAATATTGTTGCTGTATCTTCTTTAAACACAAGCTCTGGCAGACAATTAAAACATCAAACCTGCCCTGTGAGGAAGCAGTTAGGCAACAAGAGTCAGGGGGAATAGGATTCTTGTCTTCTGCAGAAAGCTTCAGGAAGAAAGCAAGTGAGGACCCTAGGTGCACAGCCGTGTAACTGGAAGGAACATGCAACCGCAGAGTGAGGGCCGCTGAACAGAGCAAGACCACTGTCTAAGGGCTAAAAATAATCACTGTAAAGAGACCTCAGCTGCTTCCACTTAAACCCACAGTTATGCAGAACCAGCAGGCAAATGTCTGTCATCTTTTTCACAGGATTGGTTCACGGGCCAGTCTGAGGTTTTGTAGGTAGTCTCTTCCCACAGGTATAGTCCTTGGCAGCTCTTAGCTCAATTTCATCTCCTGCATCTCATTGGAGCCTTGCAACAACCCCCTGAGATGCAAGGGATGTCTTTTCGAGAAGATGCTGGGCTCAGGGTGGATAAGCAGCTAATCAAGTGATGAGGTCTGGAGTCAAATTCACCATCTGTCTCCCCCATCTGATGAAAATCTCCATTCATCCCTTATGAAAGAGCTGCCCTTAATTCAGTCCCTGGCTTTTATGAAAGGTGTGCTTACTGCACAGCTGCTTCCACTCAGGGCTTATATATTTTGATGGTCCCCAGAGGCACACAGCCTCATTTTTCCCTCTTTTTTAAATGAATTTTTAAAAGTTGTCAACTCTTAATTCTGAAAACATTTCAGACTTATAAAAACGTTGCAGATATAGTACAGAGAATTTCCAAATACTCTTCATTCAGCTTCCCCAAATGTTAACCAACCAGGAAATTAACACTGAGAGGATACTATTAACTCACCTTCACACCTTATTCAAATTTTGTCATTTGGGCCTTTCATGTCATTTTATGAGACTGACGCGCTACCTACTGTGCTTAACGAGGCACCTCTTTTATGTCATTTTACTGGACCAAGATCTGGTCCAAGATTATACCTTGCATTTCATTGTCATCATTCCCATTTGGGGCCATACAAAGGGTCACCTCTCTGGACCAAAACTATATAATAGAACTTTCTTCGATGGAGGGAATGTTTCAGATCTGCGCTGTTCAATATGGTTGCCACTTGAAATGTGGCTAGTGGAATGAAGAACTGAGCTTCTGATTTAATTTTAAATTTAAAGAGCACCTGTGGCAAGTAGCAACCATATTGGGCTGGTCTGAAGCCGATTAGGTGCCTTGACTGCATAGGTCATTGCATAGCTCAGCCACACCAGCTGGAAAGCACAGTTCTGGGGAAATATGACTCTAGAAATTTCACATGTGAAGAGGACCTGTGCTGGGTTGCCTGAAAGTGCTGCCTGAAAGCTGTTTCTGTCTAATGTGTAGTCTCCTGCTATGGCTGGTTTAGAAGCCCGTATCTTAGAAAAACTTCCCACAAAGTTACCCACTGGACCTGAGTCCTGGGAAGGAGATAGAATAAAAACTGCTAGAGCTGGAAGGGCTTCCAGTTCTCACACATGGCTGGTGGGAGTTCACAGTGGTACAATCCTCTGAAAGGCAGTTTGGTGTTATTCACCAAAATTACAAATACATTTACCCTTTGACTTAGCAACCCCACATCTATGAATTTATCCTACAGAGAAACTTGCAAACATACTAACACGAATGCAAGTGAGCCTAGTGGAAACTAGGCCATGAGAAGGGTGTATGGAAACTCTGTACTATCTGTTCAGGTTTTGAAAGCTGTTTTTCAAAAAACTAGTCCATTTTTTAAAACAACTGAAACTAAAACATACAAAAGAAAAAGAGGTTTTGAAACCAACTCATCAGGCTGATGATCTGAGAGGTGTGTTTTGCCCAAGGCCAGCAGTTTGCAGTGGGTTTAGGCCCTCTACATAGCACACAGCCTCCCTCCCCTGTGGCACCCATCATCACACATGCTGTGTTGAGATAGAGAACACTCCACCATCTATCCATACGAGAAAGGCATTTCATAGGACTTGGATCGCTTACCTGGATGAATTTTTATTTTTTGAGGCAAAACAAGTCCTTAAATTTTGAATGTTGAAATAGATCTCTCAAATTCAATACTTTCGTTTGTTTGAGAGATGGGAAAATTTCAAACAATTTGTTGTGGGTTGGTTCTGTTCTTTTAGACAAGATTAACAAGATTTATTTACAGGGTTCCCATGAATGATTTGTTGCCTACTCAATCTGTAAACAACTTTCTAAAAAATCTTTAAATGTTTTTCTAAACCTATGAAAATATTTAGATCAATAATTTTTTATTCAATCATAGTTGATTTACAGTGTGGTCTTAGCCTCAAGTGTACATCATATTTATTCAGTTTTTTTCTGATTATATGCCGTTATAGGTATTTATTAGATACTAAATATAGTTCTCTGTATACAGTAAATCCTTGTTGCTTATCTATTTTATGTATAGTGGTTTATATCTGTTAGGGCTTCCCTGAAAGCTCAATTGGTAAAGAATCCACCTGCAATGCGGGAGATCCGGGTTCAATTCCTGGGTCAGGAAGGTCCCTGGTGAAGGAATAGGCTACCCACTCCAGTATTCTTAGGCTTCCCTTGAGGCTCAGTTGGTAAAGAATCTGCCCACAATGTGGAAGACCTGGGTTCGATCCCTGGGTTGGGAAGATCCCCTGCAGAAGGGAAAGGCTACCCACTCCAGTATTCTGGCCTGGAGAATTCCATGGACTGTATAGAGTCGCAAAGAGTCAGACATGACTGAGCAATTTTCGCTTGTATCTGTTAATGCCATACTTCTAATTTGTCCTTCCCTTCGCCCTCACTCCTCTGGTAACCACAGGTTTATTTTCTATGTCTGTGAGTCTATTTCTATTTTGTAAATAAGTTCATTTGTACTGTTTTTCAGATTCTTTACTTAAGTGATATTATATAGTATTTATCTTTCTCTGTTTGACTTCACTAAATATAGTATTTTCTAGGTCTATCCATATTATGTTGCTGCAAATGGCAATATTTCATTCTTTCTTATGGCTGAATAATGTTTCATAGTATATACCTTTATATACCCTGACTTCTTAAGCCACTCATCTGTTAATGGGCACTTGAGTTACTTCCATGTTCTGACTATTGTAAATAGTGCTGCTGTGAACATTGGGGTTCATGTGTCTTCAAATTTGAGTTTTCATCTTTTTTGGATACACATCCAGGAGTGGAATTGCTGGATCATATAGCAGCTTTTAGTTTTTTAAGGAAACTCCATACTGTTTTTCATAGTGGCTGAACAATTTACATTCCCACCAACAGTATACTAGGGTTCCCTTTTCTCTACATCCTCTCCAACATTTGTTATTTGTAGAGTTTTTGATGATAGTATTATTACAGGTGTAAGGTGATATCTCATTGTAGTTTTGACTTGCATTTCTCTAATAATTGAGCATCTTTTCATGTGCTTGTTGGTCATTTGCATGTCTTCTTTAGATAAATGTCTATTCAGGTCTTCTGCCCATTTTTCAATTGTGTTTTTTGATGTCGAGCTGTATGAGCTCTGTCCTTCTTTGTCAAGATTGTTTTGGCTTTTGGGGGTCTTTTTGTGTTTCCATATAGATTTTAAAATTGTTCTAGTTCCGTGAAAAATGCCCTGATATTTTGATAGGGTTTGCATTGAATCTGTAGATTGCTTGCGGAGTTTGGTCATTTTAACAGTATTAGTTCTTCTAATACATGAATATGGTTTGCATTGAATCTGTAGATTGCTTGCGGAGTTTGGCCATTTTAACAGTATTAGTTCTTCTAATACATGAATATGGTTTGCATTGAATCTGTAGATTGCTTGCGGAGTTTGGCCATTTTAACAGTATTAGTTCTTCTAATACATGAATATGGTTTGCATTGAATCTGTAGATTGCTTGCGGAGTTTGGCCATTTTAACAGTATTAATTCTTCTAATACATGAATATGGTTTGCATTGAATCTGTAGATTGCTTGCGGAGTTTGGCCATTTTAACAGTATTAGTTCATCTAATACATGAATATGGTTTGCATTGAATCTGTAGATTGCTTGCGGAGTTTGGCCATTTTAACAGTATTAGTTCTTCTAATACATGAATATGGTTTGCATTGAATCTGTAGATTGCTTGCGGAGTTTGGCCATTTTAACAGTATTAGTTCTTCTAATACATGAACATGGTTTGCATTGAATCTGTAGATTGCTTGCGGAGTTTGGCCATTTTAACAGTATTAGTTCTTCTAATACATGAACATGGTTTGCATTGA